ATGCATTGCTTACGTACAGATTATAACAACAACCAATCTGACTGTGACGTCGTAAATATGGTAATTTAGCTTAACGCATATTTTCTCAATCCCTTATCTCCATTCCTCAGTCTTTGAATGCAACCAGCACGAGACAAAGTAGTTGCAGATTGTCGTAAAATCTCAACAGGGCACAGGGTCAATTAGATTTCAACTGAGTTAAAAAAAGTAAGTCATGTGTTGGGATCATCAGCGAAATCCAGATGAAGGATGAATAATATCCAGTATCCACTCCAACTGTCTATTCTCCTACCTGCACGATGACAGGCACCCCTTTGTGGTAGAATAGCTCCTCGAAGTGCTGAGCGTCCGATAGAGTGACAACGGCAACGTCTTGACAGAGCGAGCAGTCCACCTCCTGGTCCCAGTAGAACGGGTTTTCTATCAAACACGTCTCCTCGTGTATATCTGAGCGAGGGTGGAGGGAGAAAGACGAGCGAGTATCAGCATTCGTCCCTTTTCCAGGTCGTTCTGTGCGAGACGGGGAGTTACGGAGGGAGTATAAACGGACTCAAAGGAGCTCAGGGACAGTCAGCGGTTTGAGACGGTAAACGAAACATTTCAGACAATGACTCAGCATCAACTACTAGAAGCCAAGCAATGAAACGGACGACGTTAAATGTAACTGGATACAGGTCCAAATGCGCACAAGCTACCATTAACGAGTGTATGTAATACGATCACGCACTCTCCACCCGAGAAGGCTGTATCGTATTACAATCAGCTAGCCCAGACCACTGTTTCTCTCTTCTTCCCGACCCCGACTGCCAATGGATGCAATGGAGGGACGGGGTCAAGACGAGGTGCTGTCACGCGACAGGGTCAAATAACTCTGATATATAGTGAACGATAAACTGTCCAGGATGTTTCGCAGCAACAATTTATTATGACAATTAGGTAACTGATATTATTCAGTATAGGACAAACATGATGATAATATTGACAAGTAGTTTATTGATTTAATATTTATGCAGCAGAGTGTAACTAGAATATTGATTCATGGAACACTTATCAAACACTGATCCTGGGTACTTGGATTGTAACATCAGCCATCAATGAAACTGTAAGTGATGTCACATTTCAAACCTACTTGTACCTACCTGTAATTGATGGAAAATACTGAATGATTGGCAATGCAATCAGGCGAATGGCTCTCAGAATAGGATAAATCCAGTCCTGAATATTATTGTTCCAGCAGAGTTTCAACGACTTTCCTTGGCAGTATCCATATTTGATTGCAGCAAATGTAACAATGCACAATAAAGCAAAGTACATCAGGCATGCCACATGACTAGTTTTATCTGACTTTGCTTCTTTCTTTGGCACTGATGTAAGTTTCTCAGCATTATCATTGTTGTATTCAGGGCTTTCTAGTGCCTGTGTTATTGAATGCAGCAGCATTTCAGTCTTCTTCTGTCTTGAGGATGTGTCATGTCCACTGTCACTCTCCAAGAAGTTCTCCAGCTCTTCAATCCACTCTTTTTGCTGTTCATTTGATCCAAAATCCATTATGACAAAAAAGTATAGTTTGTTTTCAATACCAAATGATATCACTAGGGCAATTCACCTTATTTGCCCTGTTTTATTTTATGTTGCAGGACTAAACATGATGATTTAGAATATAATACAACTGAATGATCTTCATACCACCTCTTTATATGCATAGCTGTAAGCTATGCTGCTTGTACCAAGCTTGTACCTACACAGCAAAACGGCATTGCTGATGACAATGACAGTATCATCAGCCCTCAGGCCCAATGCCGTTTATCCTTAGGTACTCATTTTCCTAACTGTGACCTGGAATGGACATGAATATTAATATTAAATATATAGTATGAGGAAGTGCACTTTCAACAAGGCTCATTGTAGTTAAAACAAAACCAGAATGAGGATAAAAGTGTAGTCCCAAAATAAAGTTCATAGAGTTTAAATGCTTCCCACCTGATAAAATTCAATTTTATCTTCTATAGGACAGGTACACAAACATTATCAAACTGCAAATGCAGTCGCACAAGTTATCTACTTAACTTATTCAAATCAGTTGTTGTTTTGAGTTAGGGTAGAGCGCATAGCAGCTTGGCTCTTGCGTCCAACTTATTCAAATCAGCAATACCTCAAAAAATTGTATGTATGTATGTATGTATGTATGTATGTATGTATTTACGATCATGGGCGATCCACACATGGCGTGGCGATTACTGCCCAGAGTCTTGTCGGGGAAACAAACATGAAAGGTATATGTGAATTATCAGACATTATTGTATATATTCGAGCAAAATTGTATAATTGTTGTCATTTGCTTGAATATTTACAATGAAACAAGGCGAAAGGCATATTGAGATGCTAAATTGCATAGCCTAATCACACATGTTGCAATCCCATGTTAACAGGTAAATCAATTTCTGCACCAATATGATAGATGCATTTCACGACAAAGTAAAAATAATAAAAAAATTGCCACATTTTACTCATGGCATTGTCTGTACACACATGGAGCCATTTGTCAGTCTTGTATCAGTATAGCAATAGTCCTGAATATTAGTGCTATTTCTTGGCTATTTCCATGCTATTGCCAAGGCTATTGCATAGTGTGCTTGTGCTTTATTTACGAAGGTTTGTAACGTTTGTATTTTTGATCGATCGACCTTTGGCAGCGTTTTATCTTAAAACTGCATTATTTTAGGTAGTATTTGAACCAATTTTGCAATTTCAACGCAAATGTTACATTCGACATGACGTGTATGCTTGTTATTAGTGTTCTAATATCTGAACCAGCGTTTTTGTCCTGGTTGTCATGGCTAACCATTGACCTCTATAGTAACCTAGACGGCCCACTGCCGCGCCGCGGCCGGCACGGAATCGTTCCCGCATGGGGGCGCAGTGGCGCCACCTGCAAGTGGTCAGAAGTTCCCGGTCCCTGTAGACGGTCTATGTTAAGTGGGTAACTTTTGAAGCTGATTTTTAAGAAAGATACAGCCTGCGGATAGCTGAAAAGGATTGCTATGTAACTGAACATGCTTTCTTAAAGGAAATAGTTCACTTTTAACATGGGGTTTGGAACTGGAATAGCAGTTTTGTTGCTTGCGCTGAGACTAGCACAAATCAGAAGCTTTTACGGCCCAACAATCACCCTAGACGAAGATATTCCATTTTTCGTTCTGAAAAGAGTGCCTTGCAGAGGAATGCGTGCCTTGCTGAGGAATGCAGTCACGTCATCGTCAGCCAATCAGAATGCTGCTTACAGCCGATGGGTTTGTCCTACGCAATATGATTGGTCAACGCGTAATAAGCTTCCGCGTCAAACATTATTTTATATAGAATATAGTTCTTCTTATACTAAAATATAGAAAATAATCCTTTTTACAAAAACGTTTTGTTTTATTTTCTGATCATTTTGAGCATAAAAAAACAGAAATCCATAGCAAAATACTAATTTCAGGAAAGTGAACTATTTCCTTTAAGGTGTGATGTGCTCGATTGCGAACAGGATGGCTCGAGCCGTGCAATAAAGTGCATTGTTTCAAATGACCCGGACGCTGGCGGTACAAAGCATACCGAAACGTGGAGAGCCTACCTGCCGTAGGTAAGGCCATACGGGACGAAGAACGTACCCGCTTCCTACTCAGGTGGCAAAAGATGATCAATAAGCAAACGAAGGGGGAGGGGTCCGTTCGACTCCCGCCCTAAACTCTCGTAAAAAGCGGCCGATCGCGACGAAACTTTCAATACCCTCGCTATAATCAATTATACACCTGCCCTGAAAGTTTCATGACCCTGACCCAAATGACCTTTGACCTGTGACCTACTTTTCAAGACCATGTTTGGCCGGAATCGCAATTCGGCACATGGCTGGCATTAACCGCGCGTTAGCAGTCTTTTCGTGATTTCAAGCGTTCAAACATGTGATATGATGTTGCTCCCGTGCATTAGGGTGGGTGTCAAGGTCAGTGACTTGGAAGGTAACCCAATGACCTAGGACCTTAAAATCAGGTATAATCGGCTGCCTCTCGTCTACTTGCAATTCCATCCCTGATAATATGCCAGTGCTTATATCGGGGGTCGGCAACCTTTTTGGGGTGCGGGCCAGATTTAAGCGATTCAGAAGCAGCCGGCGGGCCGGAGCATGGCATGGTTGCAATTTGCTACAGTCATAGGTACGCAATATTGGAGAAACATGACAGCGTAATTAATAGACTGGTGTACGGAAAACAAAATCGATTTATGAAGGTACCGCGGGCCGGAACGCAATGTTAGTTGCTGTTACCAGACGCGAGCCGGACGTCAAATGGTCGCGGGCCGGATCCGGCCCGCGGGCGGTAGGTTGCCGACCCCTGGCTTATATAGATCACCATCGATCTGGAATGGTCATCTTTTGCCACCTGAGTAGGAAGTGGGTACGTTCCTGGTCATGCATGGCCTTACCTACGGCAGGTAGGCTCTCCACGTTTCGGTATGCTTTGTACCGCCAGCGCGTCCGGGTCACTTGAAACAATGCGCTTTATTGCACGGCTCGAGCCATCCTGTTAGCAATCGAGCACATCACACCTTAAGAAAGCATGTTCAGTTACATAACAATCCTTTTCAGCCATCCGTAGGCTGTATTTTTCATAAAAATCCGCTTCAAAAGTTACCCACTTACCATAGACCGTCTACAGGGGCCGGGAACTTCTGACCACTTGCAGGTGGCGCCACTGCGCCCCATACGGGAACGATTGCGGCGCGGGAGTTGGCCGTCTAGGTTACTATAGAGGTCAATGTGGCTAACAGATCATTTTGAAGGCTGCATTTTATCCTATTCTAAGAAAAAAATATATTGTTTTTAATTGCATCAATAAAAAATTGGAACTGTAAATTTTTTTTTTACAAATATATGAAAAGGAGTGAGGGCTTAAATGTTCATAGCGACGAAATTTTCCAACATAATTTCTCTTCTCTCTGATTGGTTGAGTGCAAGTTGAGTGGCCATACAGCAATATTCGTCGAACAGCATTTCTTTGATTTGTGTACATACGTGTGCCGCCGGATGAGCTCTAAAAAGTAATCAAACAATTTTTGGGTGTTGTCCATTGTTCCATTGATTTCATGACTACACTGACTAGGCTGGTAGGTAATGATTGATAAATAACTTGCCACATAGGATACAGTGCCTTTTTATCATCGAGGAGCCATGTTTTTATCAGCAGTAAGCTGAAACTCTGTTCTCAATCTTATCACTTAATTTTCATTTTGCTACAACCATGAAATGAAACCTCATATTTCATTTTTCAGGAAGTCCCTATTTCAATAACAATTAAAGCATGTTTTGACCATTGTTTTTGTGGTCATTGACAATTTTTAATGGACAGGGAAACATTAATCATAAATATATTTTACTGTTTTGTATGTTAGGTGCATGTGTGCAGCGTACATACTGCACTGATATTTTGCATGTATTGTGCAATTTTCATAATGCTGAGATGCTTATCGATCTAAAGTGCCCTTCATGAAAAGGCTGAAACAAACTGTTTCTGCAGTCAGGAAATCACATGCTAGAGCCCATTCAAATACATTAAAGGAAATAGTTCACTTTTTAACATGGGTTTTGAACTGGAATAGCAGTTCCGTAGCTTGGGCTGAGACGAGCATAAATCAGGAGCTTTTACAGCCCAACGATCACCCTAGGCAAAGATATTCTATTTCTCGTCCCGAAAAAGGTGTATTGCGTTGAGGATGTGTGCCTTGCATATATTCGCATCCAGTATGAAAAGAGCATGGGTCCCGAAAATTCTTCAGAAATTAGTGAAATTATCTACGAGAACTCAAGAGAAATTCTCGTACTGATCAATAAGGACATTCAGCAGCAGCAGATCGCCCAAATGCCGGTGGCCGCGATAATTTCTCTAGTTTCTGAAGAATTTTCGGAACCCATGCTCTTTTCATACTGGATCGCCTGTGCCTTACAGAAACTGAAAAGTTCTTCTTATATCAAAATATAGAAAATAATCTTTTGTTATAAATAGGTTTTATTTTCTTTGCTGATCATTTTGAACATAAAAAATCATAAATCCATTGCAAAAAAAAAAATTTCGTGAAAGTGAACTATTTCCTTTAAGTTGCACTTGCATCAATCTTACAGGTAGTGTTGCATGTAACCATGCTTGCAATTGCCTGCACATTTCTGTAAGATTGATGTAAGTATAATGTAATGTATTTGAATAGGCTCTAGCATGTGATTTCCTGATTTTGGAAAGTCTGTTTCAGCCTTGAATGGCTCACATAATTTGGTTGTAGGAAATTGGAGGAAAAAGGAGGGTAGAGTACATGTAGATTAAGACTGTGTTTCCTGTGCAGGTTATGCATTATTTGAAATGGTTGCATTGGTTTTGAATATTTAAGAGCTATCTAGATTTGAAACAGCAATGAGACACTTAGCTCCGTTATTAATATTATGTATGCATGTCAACTTTGGATGATAACATAATCATAATGTTTGGATGATTCATGTGCTTTAAATAAGCTACTTCTTGTTCTTCTTGAAGAAGCTACTTCTTCTTAAAATGAGGTACCACCTACATACAATAGTTCATTTTAAGTGGTCACCCAATACTTTTTATCAGGCTGTCTGGGCAGCAATCTTCTTCTCAACATTATGAAGATGTAAATGTCTGAATGATTAAACCAACAGCAGGGTGGAGAGGACAAACAGAGTCAGAGAGTACAGCTGTTTGATAGAGACATAAGATACCTATGTCTAAGCATTCCCATTGTCTGGCAATCAGCATAATCCTCTTGAGAAAATTACAAATAAGTTTAAGGTACCTAAGCAATTTAGGTAAGTTTACCAAATGTCATTGGCCTATTTAGCTAACTGATTGTGATGTATTTTTTTTTCAGAAATAGGACTTCTGCAACAACATCAAGAAAATGCTGGGTTTGTCAGTCTTTGGCCTGTATATGGTGTTTGTGGTGTTCCTGCTATTCATGATGGTAAGACAGTATGAATGACAAGATGTCACAATTGTTTTATATTTTTCATGCTGTGATTTTCAATCAATCTATGAAATGATCTTTTGGCCAAAATATTACATGTTCCCCACAATCTCATCTTTTTTACCTAGCTAATATTCTTGCTACCATTCCCAATGCTCCTGTGACATTTTATGATCAACTGATGGTTATTTTGTTCAGAAGTGATTGACTGGAAATAATTCTTTTCAGATATGTGTAGCAATATACCTTAGTACAACCCCATACCCAGAGATCATTCGCTATGATCAGGAGAAGACATTTTTCACCAGCAAGAACAAGAAACAGACTGGCGAGTTTCCCTTTGGGAAGTTCAAGGCACAAGATTCTGTGAAGCTCTCAGTGATAGTGCCAGCATACAATGAAGAGCAGAGATGTAAGGGCATGTCAGCATTTTTTTTCAGCTTCAATCCCTTGTTGCTTCAACACCACATTTAATCCGCGCCCTGCGGGGGGGGGGGGTGTTTGAACACCCCCCCCCCCCTTGTGGTTTTTCGCGAATATCTCAAAAACGGCGGCGCGGAGCGCCGCCGTTTTTGGTACACCTTATCATACATCAATTCTACACATGTTGTAAAAATTTCAGATCAAGATCATTCAAGGTCAGGTCACCAGGTCACTTGAAGTGACCTCACCTCTTAAAAAGTTTCAATGTCTGTCATAGCTACACCGAGTTACCGATCGCTTTGAAACTTTCAGCGATTACTAAGAGTAATAGCATGTACAAAATGTATATCTCAGAATTTTGATATCGATGACCTAAGGTCAGGTCAATTTTGCGACCTCCCCATTATAAGTCAATGGGCGAAAATTGAAATGCGCCTCTTTTGGACGAAAGACATTATAAACACTCCCAAACACCGAATTACAAGTGTTTTAGACACACTGAACATGAAAATGGTGTCCGTGACCCTTGTTTATGCCCTGAGGTCATCTTAGGTCACGAATGGTATCTAACAGTTTTTCGCAAATAACTTTTGATGGAGGCATGCTAGAGCGATGAAAACGCCTTAGATGTGTTCAGCTCGACGATACGGATCGACTGATATGCAACATGACCCTTTCCGGTCAGGTCATGACCTTGACCTGAGGTCAAATTTTCAAGTTGACCTTTCAAGGTCAAGTTATAGTTCATTCGATGCGTCTTGACGAGAGGAACACGATGCCGGTAAAAGTAAGCTCGTACAGGGCTTGGGTCAAAAGTTATTGCAGAAAAACTGTTTCCGAAGAAATCGGCTATTTTTGCAGTTTTTGCCCCCTGCAGGCAAAACCGTTGACGTTAGGTCAAATCTGAGGGAATTACTCAGAAAGGGCGTTAATAGGGCTATCGAATGCGCTTTTACGCGGCGCTGTAGCTCTATTGGTTCCCGAGTTATGCGTTGGCTTCTTGGAAATTTTCGACATTCGACCTGGAAATCGGCGAAATTTTGCCTTCAATGACCTCTGGTGACCTGACCTTTGACCTGACCAAAAAATTGACCGAAGTGATTTCGTCATTATTTTTGACGCTCTTTCGAACGCCGCCTTCCGCGTATCGCTACGTGGCCCAGGAGCCGAGTTACAAGGGGGGGGGGGTGTTCAAACACCCCCCCCCCCCCAGCAGGGCGTGGAAATCCAGGACCCCCAGCCGGGCGCGGGTTAATATCCACACTTATTCTGTGACGCTTGAGCCACCATGGGTAATTACTATTTATTTTCAACACATTGTCAAATTTAAATACAAATTTGTATCTATTTTCAGTGATGATCTTACCCCTACTAATTTCCTTTCTCTGTCACGCCTGTTGCAGTGCCCAGTATGATGAAAGAGGCACTGGAGCACCTGGAGGCGCGGCGCGCCGCCGTGCCCGGCTTCACCTACGAGGTGATTGTGGTGGACGACGGCAGCTCGGACGCCACCTCCGAGCTGGCGCTCCAGTACACCGAGAAACACAGCGCCGACCGGGTGCGCGTGCTGACACTGGAACGCAACCGCGGCAAGGGCGGCGCCATACGCATGGTGAGATCGAGGTGACCTCTGAATAGATCGATGTGCCACGTGCACGGTGATCTGTAAATACATTGACTGATTGGTATAAAACTTCTCATTTTTTCCTAGATTTCCTCGGATAGTCTATAAGTCTAGATACGGAATTTTTGCTAGGGGTGCGTAGATCGACGTCTATATTTCGTCGTTAGATAGCGACGATAGCGGTACCTAATCACTTTGTTCGCATGTTGTCTGTACGCTTTATGGTCCTTCTGTGATCTTCGCACCGACTGCGTGGTCGCCCGCCGCAGGGCATGCTGAGCTCCCGCGGCGAGTGGCTGCTGTTTGCGGACGCCGACGGCGCCACTCGGTTCTCCGACCTGGACCAGCTGGAGGCCGAGCTGAAGCCGCTGGCCACTGCCGCCGACTCTGCGGCCGTGGTGTGCGGCTCGCGCGCCCACCTCGAGAAGGAGAGCATCGCGCAGCGCTCGCTGTTCCGCACCATTCTGATGAAGGGCTTCCACCTGGTGGTGCGTCTGTTCACCGTCCGCGATATCCGCGACACCCAGTGCGGCTTCAAGCTGCTCACCCGGCCCGCCATGCTGCTCTGCTTCGCCAACCTGCACGTCGAGCGATGGTGAGTATTGTCGAACTGCAGGAGATCTCGGTATTTGAATCAGTGCGGTCTAAACTAAGACCATGCACTATTCCCGGTATTCCTCCTAACCATAGACCTCTGTGTATACTGTATACAGAGGTCTATGTCCTAACTCAACGTGATAAATGGATGATAATACTGGTTGCGTCATGTGTGCGTGTTTTTTTCTCTCGTCAAAGTCCGCCCTTTTCACTGACGTGCCTGTTTACAGGGCGTTCGACGCAGAGCTGCTGTATATCGCCCAGCGACTGAAGATGCCCATCAAGGAGGTCGCTGTGCACTGGACCGAGATCGAAGGTGAGGGCTGCAGTCTAGATGCTGGGGGCTGAACTCATGCTGGCGGGCCTGCGTTGTTCTGCTTGATACACGCCTTGCTTACTTGATCTTTGATGGGTTGATTTTCGCCAACATAATGTGGGACTAAATAAGCGTTGCAGCGTTGCTTAGTGTCGTTGAATGAACGTGTAATCTTGCTGAATTGTTATAAGTCAAGATGTCGCTTCGAAATTTTGCTAAATGTCGTTAATTTGTCATGTTTTACGAAACAACCGCGTAATGCGTGAAAATACATTCCTGCCCGGGGCTGGGAAAATTTAATGGTGTCACCGAGTTTTTTAATTGAAAGTACCGAGGGCCGGTAGGCCCGAGGTACTTTCAATTAAAAGACGAGGTGACACCATCAAATTTTCCCAGCTCAGGGCAGGAACAGGGGGGCGACACGGCTATTCGCGCAATGTATTAATTTATGGGCCGCGCGGGGCCTCGCGATGACGCGGCTGGAGGCAACTGCTCAGCGCGCTAGGATACTTCTGGCGGGGCGGGGCGCTGAACGGTGTGCAATGAATGGGTTATGGTCGGGCCGACAGAGATGAGGTATTGAATTTGAATTGACATCAGCAATCGGGTGGGGAAGGAGAACGTTCCTAATCGAGCTTGGGTTGGGGAAAGCCGAAAATATCGCGATCGGCTCATAGCTCAGACAGGGCCGGGTGCCGTACCATGTGTTGTATACATATTTAGGCGGGCAGACAGAGATGAGTTATTGGATTTAAATTCACCTTACCATCGGTTTCTGGTGGGGTTTGAAAATGGTTTTAGTCAAGCTCGGAGTGGGGCAACCCACTGGCGGATCCAGGGGAAGGCATTTGGGGAAAATGTCTTCCCCCACATTGGCAGCGCCCGAAATCGCTTTTCGAGAATCAAAGAAAACTTCACAACTTTTCTGAGGAAATGTTGGTTTATCACACTGCACAGCAGTGCGCAAGGAATCGAAATCAGAGTTTTTTTTTTAATTAATTCCGAGAAACCTTTTTAGGGTAAGCCCCCGCAGTGTCCAAGACCGCTTCCTGGATCCGCCAGTTGTGAATAAGTCACGGTCGATACCGAGCTTCGGCGGGACCAGGCGCTGTATACGTTGTTCTTTCAATGAAGAGGTGGACAGACACCTAGCCCCACATCCTACTGCTATGCCCGTGCTTCTGTGGGTGAAGCACTAAAGCATCACGGAATCCCACAGGACCTGCGAGTCGACGAGGTGGGCCGCTTTGGCCGCCGGGTACTGCAGCTCCCTGGAGTTGCCTGGGACCGATGGCAAAACAACAGCTCCGGCGGTGCCCCTATGGGCCGTAGTAATTAGCGAATTCCTGTAATGTAGAGATCATATCCTCAATAATCTCCATTACCATTTTATATTCCTAAACAGTATGACAGAACAATTATGCTTGCCTACGTTCAGGCATTACCTCTGATGGTCATACGTCCAGTACAACATGTGTTGTCTGTCAAACAGCAATCGACGACGGGATCTCTTCTCATTATCTCTTAAGCCATCGGTTGTCAATTCACCCACCCCGTTTCCCTAAAAATAGACGGTCAGATTCGGCCTGGGTCCTTACGACCCCTCTAGATTCGCCAGAGACGGGATCGGATCGCCGTTATTGCACCCGTCTTAGTGTCTTTAATACTATGACAGCTTCGACCACGGACTTCGGACGGGGTGATCGTTCCACGAATGTACGAACCATCCAGGCCTAGAGTGCATCGAGGTTTAAAAGAATGCAGTCTGTAGATCAATAAACATAACAATGGTGGTATACAACCACATTAAAATATCTCCCCGGCTCCCGCAACGTTCCAACGCCCCTCCGTTATGCATTCGCCTTGTGTGTCCGCCGAGCCGGCTTGCCTCCAATGACGTCATCGGCCGGCCGGCGGCGTTCAAGGTCAAACGGCTGGTGTCCTTACCTGGAGTTCTATAGCCTTGGGCAGGAAGCTATTTCCCATACATGCGTACCATTATAGGGAGCTAAATTGATGAAATACTAGGACTTACTCCACAAGGAGATCGAATGGGTCGGAGCGCTTTCAATATGTATTATACATATCGTCGTCAGCGAATCAATAACGGGTCGAATCGAGTCGGGTATCGAAGAGGTTCGGGAGCTGCGCGGCAGAGCGATCACATACTATTCGAATTATGCATTAAAGAGAATAAAAAACACGTGAGAACAATCATGATACACTAGCTGCTAAAATGAATTAAAATGGGGTGCTAAAATGCATAAATGGCACGTATAAAAATACAATAAAGGGGGGGGGGGAAACAGGATACCTATGGTGATAAAGACTGAGTAGAAAAGACTATACAAAAATGAGTGCAAAAACTGTAAAAGGACGAGTACAAATATAAATACATACAAAGGCCGAACTAGACGTAAACACTACTGACAAAAACGGCGGATTATCGGCAGCCAGCGGTCATGCAGCAGGGCACCCGAGTTCCTGTTCACGTTTGCGTCATTCGGCGACACCAGGACGGCTTCACGCCGACCAACAGTCCGAATATAGGCCGATTCCAGGAGAAGTCGCATCTGGTGATGACTGGCTCGATTCAAGATCTTGATGGCATCGAAAGCAGGTGAGCAGTCTCTATGGGTACTGAAGGCCGATGTATTGGCTCTCGAGCGGACTGCTCCAGTCCAGCTCTCCCGGTGTTCTCGGAGTCTCGTGCCCAGCTCACGATCTGTCTCGCCGATATAGACCATTGGGTCACCGTCCACTTGGCAGGAGCACTCGATCCGATAGATGACGTTGCTCTGTTGTAGCTTAGGCAGATGGTGCTTAGCCTTGCTGCAGAGCAGCGAGCCGATGGTGACTGAAGGCTTGGAGACGAGCTGGATCCCGATCTTGCTGGCCTCCCGTTTGAGTTGGTAGAACAGGGGGCCGGCAAACGGAACAGAGACTCGGACAGGCGCCGGGTGTGAGTTCGCGCTAGGTGGCGCTGGTAGGGCCCTTGCCTTCAGTCTGAGATCGGTCCGAGTCTTCTGAATGGCCGAGTCGATGAATGATCGTGGGTAGCCATGATGATGAAACTTCTGGCGGATGAAGTCAAGCTCCTGCTGGCGGTCTCTCATGGACGAACAGTATCGGATCGCTCGAGTGCAGTCAGATCGAATGGCCGCTCTCAGGTAGCGGGTCTCGGTGTAGGAGCTGAAGGCAGGCACTTGGTTGGTGTTGCAGGACTTCCTGTAGACCTTGGTGCAGAACTTGTCGTCTCTTCTAGTGATGCAGATGTCAAGATACGGTAGCTGTCGGTTTACTTCCAAGTCAGTGGTGACATTGATGCTGGAGTCCTTGTTGTTCAGCTGGTTGACCCACGTGCTGAGGATGTCGTCACTGCCCTCGAACAAGACCAGGTAGTCGTCCGCGTATCGGCAGAAAGCATGGACCCTGCCACCACAGTTGGCCGCCAGGAGCTCCAGATCAGCCTCCCAGTGACCCATGTACAGGTCAGCGACCACCGGAGAGTAGCTTTTGCCCATGGCTAGGCCGGTAGTCTGCCTGAACCATCGCTCCTTGTCACCGTCTTGAATGACCGCATGGCAGTTCTGGATAGAGATGTTCAGCAGGTCAGCGACTGCGTCGGGCTTGAGACAAGTTACGTCGGAGAGGGCGTCTCTGTTGTCTCGCAGCTGAGTACGAATCAGTGAGATGAGCCATCTCACTGATTCGTACTCAGCTGCGAGACAACAGAGACGCCCTCTCCGACGTAACTTGTCTCAAGCCCGACGCAGTCGCTGACCTGCTGAACATCTCTATCCAGAACTGCCATGCGGTCATTCAAGACGGTGACAAGGAGCGATGGTTCAGGCAGACTACCGGCCTAGCCATGGGCAAAAGCTACTCTCCGGTGGTCGCTGACCTGTACATGGGTCACTGGGAGGCTGATCTGGAGCTCCTGGCGGCCAACTGTGGTGGCAGGGTCCATGCTTTCTGCCGATACGCGGACGACTACCTGGTCTTGTTCGAGGGCAGTGACGACATCCTCAGCACGTGGGTCAACCAGCTGAACAACAAGGACTCCAGCATCAATGTCACCACTGACTTGGAAGTAAACCGACAGCTACCGTATCTTGACATCTGCATCACTAGAAGAGACGACAAGTTCTGCACCAAGGTCTACAGGAAGTCCTGCAACACCAACCAAGTGCCTGCCTTCAGCTCCTACACCGAGACCCGCTACCTGAGAGCGGCCATTCGATCTGACTGCACTCGAGCGATCCGATACTGTTCGTCCATGAGAGACCGCCAGCAGGAGCTTGACTTCATCCGCCAGAAGTTTCATCATCATGGCTACCCACGATCATTCATCGACTCGGCCATTCAGAAGACTCGGACCGATCTCAGACTGAAGGCAAGGGCCCTACCAGCGCCACCTAGCGCGAACTCACACCCGGCGCCTGTCCGAGTCTCTGTTCCGTTTGCCGGCCCCCTGTTCTACCAACTCAAACGGGAGGCCAGCAAGATCGGGATCCAGCTCGTCTCCAAGCCTTCAGTCACCATCGGCTCGCTGCTCTGCAGCAAGGCTAAGCACCATCTGCCTAAGCTACAACAGAGCAACGTCATCTATCGGATCGAGTGCTCCTGCCAAGTGGACGGTGACCCAATGGTCTATATCGGCGAGACAGATCGTGAGCTGGGCACGAGACTCCGAGAACACCGGGAGAGCTGGACTGGAGCAGTCCGCTCGAGAGCCAATACATCGGCCTTCAGTACCCATAGAGACTGCTCACCTGCTTTCGATGCCATCAAGATCTTGAATCGAGCCAGTCATCACCAGATGCGACTTCTCCTGGAATCGGCCTATATTCGGACTGTTGGTCGGCGTGAAGCCGTCCTGGTGTCGCCGAATGACGCAAACGTGAACAGGAACTCGGGTGCCCTGCTGCATGACCGCTGGCTGCCGATAATCCGCCGTTTTTGTCAGTAGTGTTTACGTCTACACCATTTTGCCTTCAGTTTGAAAAAGTTAAAGTTCAATTTGAAAAAGATGCATTTCAATTTGAAAAAAAATGCAATGCAAATCGAATGGCACGTGTTTCAAATTGAAGTGTACCTTTTTGAAATTGAGCTTCAGCTTTTTCAAACTGAAGGCAAAAAGGTGTAGTTCGGCCTTTGTATGTATTTATATTTGTACTCGTCCTTTTACAGTTTTTGCACTCATTTTTGTATAGTCTTTTCTACTCAGTCTTTATCACCATAGGTATCCTGTTTCCCCCCCCCCCTTTATTGTATTTTTATACGTGCCATTTATGCATTTTAGCACCCCATTTTAATTCATTTTAGCAGCTAGTGTATCATGATTGTTCTCACGTGTTTTTTATTCTCTTTAATGCATAATTCGAATAGTATGTGATCGCTCTGCCGCGCAGCTCCCGAACCTCTTCGATACCCGACTCGATTCGACCCGTTATTGATTCGCTGACGACGATATGTATAATACATATTGAAAGCGCTCCGACCCATTCGATCTCCTTGTGGAGTAAGTCCTAGTATTTCATCAATTTAATTCCATCTCCACATCATGTCATTACGTCATTATAGGGAGCGTTGCAAATGTTATGGAGGAACCAAAACGCCCCAATTTCAACCTTGTTGAGTCTTTCGTGGCTATGGTTTGTTGCGAAATAGCGTCAAAGTTTAAGTTTTATATGGTGATGTTTCACTTTATCCATGACAAATAATAAAATCCTTCCATCAAACACAATGTAGGTAAGTATATCATAAGCCAATAAAATAAAATGGACGATAGATAAAATGAAGTTATCAGAAGCAAAATGATGCTCTTTATGATGTGACGTCATTCATAATGACGTCATATATTTGAGAGGTGCAGGAAAACGTCGAGGGGTGCAGGAAAACGTCCAAAGGTGCAGGAAAACATATTTTCCTGCATGTCTCGGAAACCAATCAGCATTGACTTCTCGTATGTTTCAAAAGTGCAGTATAATGCACGTGCCATTTTAATGCCTGGCTTTCTCGATTTAAACGTGCAATGTTGCATGTATGGGAAAATACATTCCTGCCCGGGGCTGGGAAAATTTAATGGTGTCACCGAGTTTTTTATTTTATTGAAAAGTACCGAGGGCCGGTAGGCCCGAGGTACTTTCGATTAAAATACGAGATGCTAAGTTCGGGTAGGTATAACATTGAACGAAATCTGGTATCTTCTTGTCTTTTTTCCTCATCTTCAAATCATCTAAAATCATCATCAAATCAGCTTCTTGTATCTTTTTCAACGAATATTGCTCAACTTTATATGGTCTATGGAAGAACAAAAAGCTAATAAAAACGATTTTAGGTGACTAATGTTTTTTTTTTTGCGTAGCAAACGATCATATTCGCAGTTGTGGTCTATGTCAAGGACAGTTTCTCGACACAAGGCGAGGTCGACATCGTGACATCCTTTGTTATTTGTAGGCTCGAAGCTGACGCCGATAATCAGCTGGATAGAGATGGGCCTAGACCTGTTCTTCATCTGGTTCCGGTACTCGATCGGCGCCTGGCGAATCCGTGACCAGTTGGACAGCAAGAAGTTCGAGTGAGCAGACAGGGACGATGTGACCGCTCACTGAAGACGCTAGACTGCCTGCCGCAGAGGCTGCCAGGTTTAAGGATAGCTGGGGGTGATCACGATGGACCAAAGACACGCGGTGGTCGGGACGGGGGCGGTTGGGGTGCTGCAAGTGATCCACGTTTGGACTGTGACCGGGCTCGTCACAGAGTCCGAGCAGACTGCCGGTTGAGGCACGTACTCACGCATACCCCTTCTCAGGTGACGTTTGGGCCAGGAATCGCTGGGGAAGGGTCGGGGTGAGGCACTTTGGGCTGTGGGCACTGCGTGCAGAGCTCCGGAGACGGCACTGTGTGTTGTGATAATCGCTGATTTGTGATCAGAGGTGATGATTCGATTTGCGTGTTTTGGTGGGCGTAGTTGGATGCCAAGTTGCTGGGATAAATTTACCTGAAATATTTGTAACGCAGTCTGTTTGATGATGAAATTATAAGCTTTTGGATCAGAAGAATAGTCTCATTAATTTAGATCCTTAAACGGACGGCATTTAGACCTATTTCTGAATTGAAAATCAGTATGGGTCAGATAAGAAAGTGTTTCTCAGAATCTTTTAGTTTTAACCAGTAAATCCGACGAAGAAAATCGTTTTATTACGGTTGATAAAAATGAATAATTTTATATTTTTAAAAGAGCTGAGGTTTTTAGAGCCCCAACCGTTTCTAGAGAAGTGAAGTTAAGGAAATATTTTAGTACCATGATCCCTCTGTCCTCCATTGGATTCCTGGAAATTTTATGCATTTCAATCTTATTGCAGTAATTCTCCTCAACATTTCAAAATCTCGTCATTTTCAGTGACCAATAAGTGTATTTGTGTGCGCGAGCTAATGTGCGTTGAAAAAATGCGTGAAGTCATGTGCAGCTGCTCGAATAGAACATGCGCACTGCACACAGTGCAGTTTGAAGATTGCGTGCAGTCATCTTGTTATCAATTGCTTCAAAAAAAGATAATGTAAAAATAGGCTTGCAATCGACTCCTTATTCGCTTTTAAACCAAGTACTGCCTGTTAAAACAAGTAAAAACCACCAGTGAGGAACAGTCGATTATGTATACGTATTGAAGTGTGAGTATAATTATATTATCCTTATATGTTGACTGCTGTGCACTGTGACACAATGGGAAATCGTGTGTTGGTTATCAGATGCGTTCAACTCATCGTGATTATCTTCACTGTTCACTGATATAGGAGAAACCTAATGGGATCTCCCCTAAGCACGTTTGTTTTTCCATTGTCGTCATTGTTGGTCCCTTCGTGATTTCTTCGTTGTTGTGGTTGTTTATGACGATCTTTGGTTGAATTATGTTAACGTTACAAGCAAAGACATGTTTGCTGCACTTTGTTCTTTGGTAGGCATTCGAATCGTGGAAGCTTGTCTCTGCAGTTTGCGTGTAACGCATGCACGTTTTTCTTTTCGTTGGGGCAATGGGAGCGGTGAAGGAGCATTTGCCGTTGTGTCCTTGAATTGTGGATAGTCAGTCTGTTAGAAGAGCTGCCTGGATCCCATATCGCTGAACATTGTACAATATAATACACGTAAAACTTGGGGGAACTTATCTCTTGTGTGATGTATGGGGCTATGTGTAAAATGCTATTTGTATTGCTTGACAAACTTTTTTATTACTGACTTTATCTTACAAGCGTAATTGTGTAGGTATACATTGCTCTCACTTTCTTAGGCAGTCATGGTACGATGCTGAGAAGATTATGAACGACAGTGCCGCGGCTGGTCTACGCCCTACGGATAGTCCAACGGTGTACTATCGTTGCGATCACTTAGCGCTAACCATACCATCACTTTTACGCTACGATCGATTGGTAAAGACCAGCACTCAGCAGTCGCCAGTCAGCATGATTAAAAGTAATTTATCATGGTTGGAACTTGGAGGTGCTGTACCTGGGCGATAATTGTTGATAACTGGAGAAGCATCTGTTTGTTTTGTTGGGTTAGACCCCTAATCCTTTTTTTCATAGCCGGAACGATAATAGGAGTATTTCGGGGATAGGCGTTTGTCTGGCCGGTCTCTTCGGTGGGCCAACGGGACTGGGCCCGTCACGGTGGACAGGCCATCCAGTACCACTAACGGTCTTTCCATCGCACATGAGGAATGTGAGCAATGAGCGATGAACATCTATTACTGTACTAATCCCTGATCAGTTACTCCGTCGGATGAAGGCTTTTTTATGTGGCCTTTTGCATGGAATGGGAAGTTAATAGGGCAGAAGAGAGAAACTCGTGTGTCATAAGGATAGATCAGAAGGATTAGAGCTTTTTAAGTAAATGATTATAACAGAAAATTTGTAATGTAAGCAAGTTATATAACAACTTTGTCTTCTTGCCATTCTAAATTTAATAATTAAAAGCATGTTAAATTGCTAACCTTCATTTAGTGGCCGATAGCTTCTGCTGAATTTAGACATGCGTCACATTCGTCTACTCTAAATACAACTAGCTACTTAGTATGTTTTTCAGTCGTTTCTGTGGTATTCTGTACCAATTTTTAAAGTGTGTGTCAAAGTAACTTGTGCAATCTTTATAAAAACTGTGGAGCATTCATAAAAAGCTTCAAGGCCAGTCAATTTCATGTTATAAGATATTTCTAATAATCGTTTCAAGCGGAAATTATACCATTACTTACACCAGAAATCTAGGATTTTGGAAGAATTTCCTAACTGGCAATTATCTGGAATCGCGATTTCCCGCGCTTTTCACCTAACAAAGTGCACGTGTTTGATGGGTGGCGTTTAGGATACATTTCATCGATTTTCTTATTCAATTATAAAGATAATAATTAGACAGGTATTAAGGCCATATCAACTGCTTTCTGTGCCGGTGCTTCAACACCCTTTCTTGAGATTCAAACTGCATTGCTTTGTTTTTTAGTTGAAAGAGAACCGCACTTCAACTTCATCTGTTGCTAGGAATCATGTCGGTAAGTAAAGCTCTTGTCGGAAAATCTACTATTGTGTTTATGGTCATAGTCATACGCAAATGATAATTCTTCACTTATAATGTCTCGTGCATGTTTCTCTTTGTTGTCGTCCAATTTGCCATAAGGGCCCTGTTTCACCCGTGATAGCAGCACGCTGCTTTTACACGTGTCAAATTGGGTTTCCATGGAAACATCAACAGGCCCATTGCTCCAACACTACCACAAGTGTGACGTCAGCTCGCGCAATTTGATAGCAGCGTGGTAGCAGCGTCCCGTGAAACACCGCCAAGGCACCGGGGCCCTGTTCGGTCGCTGTTTTTATATCAGCGTGCTGTCGGTTTTCCCCATTTAAGGAAGTTATTGCTGGCGCGGCTTGGCCTCTCATTGGTCTAACGAACAGACCACTTGAATTCGACCAATGAGGAGCCAAGAAGTAGCAGCATGGTCGCAGCCTGCTGATAAATAAACGGGGTGTGAACAGAGCTCAGCATTGTGTGCAATCAGCCATGTTTGTTCCCCGAATGTGCGCCTGTTGGCAATGGGCCTCACAATTTTCTTGACAATTTGCCAGCTGAGCTGGCGCCATATGGTGGCGGCTGGCGCTAGCAGAGCGTGTTGTATATCAATGCCAGATACAAATAACTAAATATCTATCTTTTACTTTCTCTGTGAATGCTATTTTATGTATTCATGTCCATCTCTTACAGTGTTTATATCAATAAATAACATGCTATTGTATGTCACCAGCTAGCCAGGGGGCTGGCTTTATCCAGTTGTCTATAATGCCCTCGGGAATGAAATTGGCAACCACTGCTGGGACAGGCCTTATACCTGCCACGTACATTGTGAAGCATGCGGCCACTAGAGGTCTGCACCGGCCGGCTGCAGCCGCGGCTGGCTGCAGCCCCACGGCTGTGGGCCGGGGCGGCTGCAAATATCTCCAAGAACACGGCTACGGCTGTGGCCACGGCTGTGAGATTTCAAGCTCAATCTTAAGTACTCAAATATAAAATTCTAAATCCTTAATCTTAAATTCTGATAAGCAGGCTAGCCTGTAAAAATCATGCAAAGGATGCCCAGCAACATTGAAAGTGGTGAAGCCTTTGAAAACCTGTAATGGTTTTACCATTTGCTGTAGGGGAGTTTGCACTCTGGTACAGAATACTAATTATAGGTACCAATTGTTCCTTCATCATCAAGAGCTTGACAGTTTCAGAAAATCCAACATGTTGCATTGTCACATACCTCTCAAATCAATCTCACCTGGTCATTAGGAGAGCACCTTACAGCTATTGAAGACGAGCATTCAATAATTCTTTCAGGTAATAGAAAAAGAAATTACGCCTAGGCAAAGGCAGGTAAAGGCTTCATAAAAATATTATCTTAAATAACTCTTAGATGTATTTCTGGATTTTCGGCAAGTCCAATTACATAATATAAAACTGGCGTTTTATGTTCTAACTGGTGTGTGAGTGACCGCTAACAGAAAATGCTGATCAACGAAGCCAATGGAATTAGATTATAAGTGAGCATGAACCTTACTCACGGTTAATTCATATGATGGTGAAAACCCTGAACACGTAATTCACATGACGGTGAAAACCCTGAACACAATATTTCTTACGCGAGCTGTTGACTTTACTAATAAAATGACGTCTTCTTCTGAAAATGTTAAAATTTGATACTCAATCTTTGTTTGAGAGCAAATTTTTAACTGTTTGGCATTATTATTAAGCAAATATAAATTTTATGGCTGTCTATAGTGACACAAAACAATTTTTATTGCCACTTCTATGCTATTGACGTCATTAACAACTCAAATAAAATTTTTGATTGAAAGAGGCAACTGTGGCTCGCACGTCCTTGGGGATTTGAGCGAAGATCATTATTTGGAAAAATCAAAATAGATCAATATTTTTCTTTCTTGGATGCTCCCTAGTGTTTTGATGCCTTGCATATCAAATTAGTTTGAGACTTGCTCACAAGGCTGCTTCAAGCCTGGCATATCAATATCACACCCCAGAAAATATGCAAGGTAAGAAAGAAGCAAGAGTTTTGACTAGACAATCACTGTTTGACAGTCCATCAACTTCAGTTTCATTTTCCATACCTAACATTGATAATGAAAAGCATCAGGGTCTGTCGTTCTGTCCCACAACCATGCTTCAGGATTTGGCATTAGATGTCTACACTGCTAGTGCTTCTATTCTGGTTCGTTGTTTATGTTTTCTGTTGATGTAGGTACCTACCTAACCATTTTTCTTAACCCCTTGCAAGGGCTTGTGTAGGCATGCGTTGCGCATCAGGCTTCAGGCCTTCAGCCTAAAGCCAGATACACAACCACTTAACCTATGATGCTTCATGAGCTTGAGAATCTATAGCCCATTGCAATGTGCTTTTGGCTATATGTTTCAACCAAAAACAACTTAT